GGAGTTTAGGTCGAGAGGCACCCTTTTTCAAGGGATAAGGTCTTGGCTAGGGATCTTCCTAGAGAGAATGGGAGTTGGTCCTCCAAGTTAGAATTTACATTGCTCAAGATGGAGCAAGGTACCCTATCCGAGCAAGAAAGGGAAGCAGCCGAGGCAAGGCAAGCGGAGTTGACCTTACCCAATGGAAGTATGACTAGCCAGGAACGAAGCTAGGCTTGGATGTGTTTGAGCTTAGCAGAGTACTAGAGCAAGTAGAAAGAGGAAGAATGTCAAAGACCTCTCCCTGTGACTTTTGAAAGCAACTGTGAGCAGAAAGAGAAGCTTCCCTTTAAGGGATAAGATGTCTTGTTAGCACGCTACAAACATAGCAACCAGTAAGAGCTTGCACTCCTTGCATTTGAAATGCCAGGCATTATGCATGTTAGAGTACGCTCCTACTGAAAGGTAAAGAAGAGGAAAGAGAAGTTGCATAAGTCCTCCCTCTGTACCATTCTAAAGTAGTAAGAGACGGTAAGAGCAATTGGAAAAGTAAGAGAACTCCTAAGACAAATTGGCTTAAGCACCTAAAGAGATAAAAAGGTGGCCTAGGGAATTGACACGAAGTCTAAGAGAATGGTATTAGTTTTTGGAACAGTCTTGGGGAATTATCAGTTAGGTGATCAACTGAGAGGAGGTGACTATACTTAGTCCTATGGTCAAAAGTCTCCCAGAGATCTTAAGAATATGGTACCACTTTGGGAAGAAAAGGACCAGGGATAAGTTAAGGTTATGGAAACCTCCTACGGTTGAAAACCGATACTGAGAGAGTACCCATGACTTCCTTCCAGAAAACCTTATCATTAATTTGGCTAAATTCAGTTTCCTTCCGATTAGCAGAGGAAAGCCAAAATTAGAGGAGTTAGAGGAGTAGAGACATAAGACCTGAAAAAGAGACATTCAGGCTAGCTCTAGATATAGAAAGAACCTATGTGATATAGAGACAGACTAGGTATTGACAGATAAATCCTTAAGATGAGGCAAGAGACAAGAATGTAAGCTGAAAAGACCAGACTAAAGATAGATCAGGAAAGGGGTCTAAGACAGTAAAGTACCAAGGTTAAGCTTATCAGAATCAGTGCCTCGGTTCCCAGTTAGCACTGTTTAGTTAAGTGTTTCAGGCAAAAGTAGCCCAAGGAAGGGTGACCCTGAAAAGAGTATGAGAAAGTGCAAAAGCTAGAAATGTTAGTCATTTTGGCAAGAATGCACTAAGATTAGCAGATAATAGAAGATGAAAGTTAAGGAAGCTGTTAAGTTACCAAGTGTCCTAAGCAGTATGGTTTCAGACTAAGACCCGAAATTTACTTGAAGTTTTGGAGGTCCTTATGAAAGAAATGGACACTACTCTCAACTTCAGTATAGCCTATCATCCTGAGACGGATGGGCAGACACAGAGAACGATATGGATGTTAGAAGACATGATATACACATATGTGCTTGATTTCGGCGGTAATTAAGATACGTACTTACCATTAGCCGAATTCAGTTAAGATGACCATTTCCATTCAAGTATCTAAATGGCGCTATAAGAAGCACACTATGGGAGGAAATGTAGATCTCCCTTGTGCTGGATAGAGTTCAATGAAAGAAGTAAGTATAGTCCTAAGATAGTGGATTAGACTTCCCAATAGACTAAAGTCATTTAGCAAAGACTTCTAACGGCTCAAGGTAGACAAAAGAGCTACTCAAATATTAAAGGAGACCGTTGAAGATTGAGGTTGGTGATTAAAGTGTAACCAACAACGGAAGTCAGTCGATCTCTAAAGTTTAAGAAGTTAAGTTCAAACTACGATGGACTATTTCAAATTTTGTCCAAGATTGGACCAGTAGGTTATAAGTGACCATTCCCCCGAATGTAAATGGAAGAAGTATCATCTAGACCCGACACATGTCATAAGCTATGATGACATTGTGCTCCAGACAACCTATCTTTGAGATTAAACTAGGGTGAATTATTGATCAGAAAGTGGAACAGCTATGAAACAGGCAGTTTCCACTAGTTGAGGTTGTCTAGAGAGATCTTATACTAGAAGCTATGAGGGAGATAGAGACTAAGACAGAGGAAAAGTATCCTGAACTTTTCCAATAACATACACTTTAAATTTCGAGGACGAAATTTATTTTAGAGGGGGAGAAATGTCACATCCAAAAATATGGTATTTGGAAAATAGGAATATTCATAAATAATTAAGGGTCAAAAATGACAAGGAGTAATAGAAGAATTTTGGGTGGAAAATAATTATTATAATTTTCCAAGCCAATTATGAAAAGTTTGACTAATTAAGGAAAATTGGTCAAGAGTAAATAGGGGAAAAATAATTCCAAGTCTCAAAAAATTAAGGAAAAATAAGGACAAGGTTCCTTGAGAATTATATGGAATTATAAAATTGGTTTTATGACCAATTTGCCCTTAGAGAAATTACAAAGGAATTTAAGGGCAATTTAAGCTAATTTAAGGTCCTTATTTGGAAAATTCCAAATAAATATATTTAAGAAGGATAAAATCCCAAGAAAATTCCTACAAAATTCCAAGGAATTATAAGAGATTATGAAATTAAAAGAAGACCCTCAAGTATCCAGATTTTTTCCAATTCTTTGGAAAAGTGGAAAAATCACTAAAGAGAAGGAAAATAGTTTTCCTTTTTATTTAATTATTGGGAAATTAAATTTGAGACAAAGAGGGCAATTTGGGAAGATAAAAATAAGGAGAATAATTTATGGATCTGAGAAAAAATAATTACAGAGGCCAGAGCACTGTAATTATAGAAAAAAAGTTAAACCCGGAGTAAAAGTGCACCGATAAAGTGTTGATCGGAGCCTTGCACTTTACTTGGCCCATAAGCTACCACTTGTCAAGCCTTTAATGGATGATAATTAGAGCTTTCTAAGTGTCAAGCTACCAATGGAGAGGATCTTGACTTTGGAATTTAATTACAATGTGAATTAAGTTAATTAAAGAGAAAATGTAAGACTAAGTAGGCTTATGACACTTGGCTCTTCATTAATTGTGGTAGATGGGATATTTTGATAGCATTGATGAGCTCATCTCTCCCCTAAATCAAATGGGAATTTCGTGCAAGGCATAAAGAGAGGGAAAAAGAGAGAGTTTTGAGGGAAAACCAAGAGAAATGCATCAACTTTGGTCATACCATCAAGGTTCAAGGTGAGTTCTTGGCTCTAGATGTGTTCTTGCCTTGTTTTCTTTCTCTTTTATGTTTGAAAATATGTCTTCTCTCCCTCTTTTGATGCTGGTCGAACTGGTTGTTTAAGGGGAAAGGGAGTTTTGCTCATCACACTTGTTAAAATACTACAACACAAGCTAGATCCTAGTGTTTGCAAGTGATTATAGTTGGTTTTGAAGCATTTTCCATGGTTACTTCCTTGAGTGTCATTTTCAGCCAAGACAAGATCTGAACCCTAGGATGTGTTTTTCAAAGTTTTGAGGCTTCCATTGTGTTCAAAATGAAAAATGGTTTAGGGTAAACCTAAAGAACAAGTGTTGGAAGCCATAGAAGCAAAGTTGCAATTTTTGAGTTTTAAACCCTAAGGGTTCAGTCAAGCTGAAACTGGAAGAGAAAAATTTATTTTGTTAAATATAAGTAGATATTTGGAATCTACATGAAAAACCATGTAGGAAAGGGTCAAGAGGGAATTTTTAGGGTTTATGGAAAACAACTCTAAAAATTCAAGAAACAAAGATAGAGGCTTTAAGGGGTTTAGGAGCTTCTTGAGTTATGTGATTGATTTTTATGTGGAATGTTTAATAATACTTGCTGCCCTTTTTGGGGATTGCCATGTTAGGATTTGGCATTTGTGGAAGTAAGAAAGAAGAACAAGAAAAATCAAAGAGCATTGGATTAAGGTAGTAAGATTTAATTAGCCTTAATGTTGACTGTTGCATTGATTGCTATGCAATTTCATGTGCTATTATGTGGTTGAGCTAAATGATGATGATGATGATGATTGTGTAGCTATACTCCTTGCTTTATGTGCCTTGGCTATTGCATGTTAGAGTGCTACATGTATGAGGTAAAGTAGTTCCCTATTAATAGCAAAAGGTTGGAATGCTTGTAATTGATGCATGTTAATGTTTTGGTTGATTGATCTTGCTACTGGAATTTTCAAAAATCTCATCCCCCCAATTATAATGTAACATTTTAGGGCCTGTAACTCTCAAGAACAAGCTGCAGAATGGAGGCTAATTATGGTGTCATACCATAAAATTTTCGTAGACATTTGGTTATGTATAATTACCAATGGTTGGTGCTGTAACCCTTAAGCAAGACGTTAGTTTAGAGCCACGGTTTATTTAGTTACTAAATGAATTTCAGCATGAAATTGGGTATTCTTATAGTTGACGTCCTGAGCTTCAGATTGATCGGAAGCACGTTAAAAATGGCCAAGTATACGATTTTTTATTATTTTTCAAAGTTAAGGTTCAGAATCTGGAAAAAGAGCTTTTGGCAAATGGATAATGTTACCTTTCACAAAAACCTGACACTTTTTCATAAGGAATTGGATAACGATATTATTTTTCCTTGAAAGAGGACTTAAAGAGATTTAAATAGAATTTTGAACCACCTCATTTCAATTTTTATGGAATAAGTTATGAATTTTTGAAGTTGGGCCAGAAAACTGGATTTTTACCCGATGAATAGTAAAAATCCGAAAATCAGCGTTTTTCATGAATTTTTAAGCCCAAGACCATCCAATGTGGTCTAAAATGGTTTTTATTAAACCCTAAGTGGATCCGATAATAAGGTGTGACACCTGTCGCCTGGATCAAATAGTAGGTTAGACTGGTGGTGCTTGGTTATAATATTGTTTGCTTTTCATATGTATGTTCTGAACTTGCTGCTTTGGTTGATGCATAAGTATTGTATGCTGAATGTTTTGGTAAACAAAATCCAAGCATGATGTTTACTTCTTGTTCCTTTATTATACTATCCGAGTAGTTAAATACGATGGTTAGAACTCAACGAAACCCTTCGCTAGAAAGACCCCTAGTGCAAGACGCAAGGGTCCCTCTTGACCCACTGCAAATAATTATGGATCGTCTCGAGCAACAGCAGAAGACCATCGAAGAGATGAGGGCGGCACAGGCTTGCCAAGAACAAGAAAGGGATGCAGCGATAGTGGCAGCAGTAGCAGCGGCATTAGCAAATCTTGACAGAAGGCAGCCAGAGGAAGAAACCTCAGCAGTGCAAGCAACAGAACAATTACCTAGGATGGCAATGCTAGAAATAGACCCTAACAGTATCCAGCAAGGGATGACACGTTTCTGTAAACACAACCCGCCATCATTTGATGGAGTGTTTGATGTCCAAGTGGCAGAAGACTGGATTAGCCGATTGGAGAAGATTTTTAAAGTATTAGACTGCCCGACGGAGTGGAAAGCTCATATGGCAATTTACAAGTTAGAGAAAGATGCTGACCTCTGGTGGAAGAATACTGAACTTATCCTGGATACTCGGAACACGAGGGTGACATGGGAAGTGTTCCTGGAGCAATTCCATGAGAAATATTTTCCGAGGTCAGTCAGGGATGAAAGGGAAGCAAAATTCCTGACCCTGAAGCAGAAGGATAATGAGCCATTTGATGAGTACTTAGCTAAGTTTATTCGTCTCTCCCACTATTTCGGTTACCTACGTTACCGAGATGATGAGCAGTAGATGACAGAGAAGATGGTCAGAGGACTAAAGCAGTCCTTAAGAGAGATGATTGCTCCCAGGCAGTTCGAGCACTTCAATAAGGCAGTTGAGGCCTGCCAAATTACAGAGAATAGCCTGAATCATCATCTGATGGTTAAGTCTACTCCCAAGTCAGAGAAGAGAGATCAAGATGGCACCTCCTCAAATGCCAATAGGAAGAGAAGGAGGCCATGGGACAATCGAAAGAATAAGAAAGGAGGCAAGCCCTCAAACAGCAAGGAATGTCTAACCTGCGGCAAGAGTCACGGTGATAGACCGTATATGGCCGGGCAAAATGTTTGCTATACTTGCAGCAAACCTAGACACTTCTCTAGAGAATGTCCACAGAATACGGAAAAGGCAAGGCCACGCACCCAAGGACGAGTATTGGCTATCACACAGGAAGAAGCCCAGAAGTCACCAGAAATGATCTAAGGCATGATCATTATTAACAACTTCCCAGTGATTGCAATGTTTAATTGGGGTGCTAGTCGTTCCTTTATTTTGTATGCCTGAGCTAAAAGACTTGACTTAGTTATGGATATGTTGCTGTATGATATCTATGTGTCCACGCTAACACATAATAGGATAATTACATTTGACGGGTGCTTAAACTATATAGTTGTTATGAGCACTGTTTACTGCCTTAAAATTAATATTTATGTCTTATATGAAATTGATGAGGTGATTGGATTGAATTGGGGTTGTGTCCCATAATGGCAAGGACAAAACCTTGATCCTACCCTTAAGAGAAATGGAGTAAAATTCAGAAGTTAAGTTAAACTTCGTAACGGAAGCCATACGGGCAATGGTACGATGAATGAAGCTATGTAAGTCATGATAAACCAAGGGAATTAGTGGCGATGGATGAATACAGAGTGGTTACCAAAGGAGGTGGTAACTTCCATCGCTGCAAACAATGATTCTAGTCATGATGAACAAACACAATAACTCTCAGATGTTGAGGTAGTATCTCAACGAGATGTAACGACTTTTAAATGTCGCAGAGAGTAAGATAAGTAAAAGTCAAGAAGAGAGCAGTAGCCACTATTTAGAGTTACCAGATTCCCCCTCAAAAAAGAAAAGTAATGATAAGAAGTTATACAAGATAGTTAGAGGTTGAGTGTACACGCCACTAGGAAAGTGGAAGTAGTCACCTAAGCTAGACACACTCTTACAGCCTCGTTAAGGCTAGAGCACCATGATAGAGTAGCTATCTCAAGTCCTGGAATAGATGAATAGGAACTTGGAGATAGTGCAGTCAAGATAGAGAGCCCTAGTGAAATGTCTTAAGGATTAAGAAGAGGAGGATGAGACAGATAGCTATGCAGGGAACTAGCTTAGAGGTTGGCATGTTCCCTTAATGTTAAGAGATACTCAGTCACTTGGGGTTTAGGTTGAGAGGCACCCTTTTCAGGGGATAAGGTCTTGGCTAGGAGTTTTCTTAGAGTGGGTGGAAATTGGTCCTCCAGATTAGAATTCACATTGCTCAAGATAGAGCAAGATACCCTATCCGAGCAGGAAAGGGAAGCAGCCGAGAGGCAAGGCCAGTGGAGTTGACCTTACCCAATGGAAGTATGACTAGCCAAGAACGAAGCTAGGCTTAGATGTATCTGAGCTTAGCAGAGTACTAGAGCAAGTAGAGAGAAGAAGAACCTCAAAAGTCCTCTCCCTATGACTTCCAGAAGCAGCTGCGAGCAGAAAGAGAGGCTCCCTCTGGTAGGGATAAGATGTCTGGATGGCACGCTATAGACATAGCAACCAGTAAGGGCTTGTACTTCTTGCATTGAAATGCTAGGCATTATGTATGTTAAGGTATGCTCATACTGAAAAGTAAGGTAGAGGAAAGAGAAGTTGCATAAGTCCTCTCTCTGCACCATTCTAAAATAATAAGAAATGGTAAGAGCAGCTGAAGGAATAAGAGAATTCCTAAGATAGATTGGCTTAGGCACCTAAAGAAACAAATAGGTGGCCTAAGAAATTGACGCAAGGCCCAAGGGAATGATATTGGTTCTTGGAAATAGTTTTGGGGAATTATCAGTTAGGTAACCAATTGAGTGGAGGTAACTTTACTTGGTCCTATAGTCTATGTCCCCCAGGGATCGGTACCTCTTTGGGAAGATAAGGACTAGGGATGAGTTGAAGTTATGGAAGCCTCCTTCAGTTGTAAACCGATACTGAGAGAGTACTTATGACTTCCTTCGAGATAACCTTATCATTAGTTAGGCTGGGCTCAATTTCCTTCTGATTGATAGAGGAAAGCCAAGGTTAGAAGAATTAGAGCCGTAAGACCTGAACAAGAGACATTCAGGCTAACTCCAAATACAGGAAGAACTCTATGCGATATAGAGACAGACTGAGTATTGACGGGCAAATCCTTAAGATGAGGTGAGAGACAAGAATGTGAGCTAAAAAGACCCGACTAAAGGTAGGTCAGGAAAGGGTCTAAGATAGTAAAGTGCCAGAGTTGAACCTACTAGAATCAATGCCTCAGATTCCTGTCAGCACTGTTCAGTTAAGCGTGCCTTGGCAAGAGTAACCCAGTGATAGGTAACCTCTGGAAAGTAATGTAAGAGGGTGCAAAAGCCAAAAGTGTCAGCTCTTTTGGCAAGAATGCACTAAGTCTAGCAAAGAATGAAAGGCGAAGGTTAAGGAAGCTATTAGGCTACCGAGTGTCTTGAGCAGTATGGTTTCGGACTAAGACCCGAGATTTACTTGAAGTTTTGGGGGTCCTTATAAAAGAAGTGGACACTACCCTCAGATTCAATATACACATCTGCGCTTATTTTCGGTGGTAACTCGGAGGCGTACTTACCGTTAGCTGAAGTAGCGTAAGATGGTAATTTCCATGCAAGTATCCAAATGGCACCATACAAAGCACTCTTTGGGAGGAAGTATAGCTCTCCCTTGTACTGGATAGAACTCAATGAAAGAAGTAAGTATGGTCCTAAGATAGTGGATCAGACTTCCCAGTAGATTAAAGTTATTCAACAAAGACTTCTAACAGCTCAAAATAAACAGAAGAGCTACCCAGACATTAAAGGAGACCGTTAAAGGTTGAGTTTGGTGATTAAAGTGTAACGATAAGGGAAGTCGGTCGATCCTCGAAGACTAAGAAGCTGGGTCCAAAGTATGTTGAATCATTTCAGATTTTGACCAGAGCGGGACCAGTAGCTTACAAGTTGGCCCTCCCCTTGAATTTGAATTGGATTCATAATGTCTTCCATGTCTCCCAATGAAAGAAGTACCATCTAGACCCGACACATGTCATAAACTATGATGACATTGTGCTTCGAGACAACCTGTCTTTTGAGGTTAGACCAGAGCGAATCATTGATCAGAAGATCAAACAGCTGAGAGTGGTCTGGAAGGGTCTTTCATCTGAAGAAACCACATGGGAGATGGAGACCGAAATGAAGGAGAAGTACCCAGAACTTTTTCATTAAGGTATGCTTTAAATTTCGAGGATGAAATTTATTTAGGGGGAGAAATGTCACATCCAGTATTATGGTAATTCAAAATAAGGAATATTCCTAAATAATTGAGGGTAAAAAATAATAAGGAGAAATAGAAGGATTTGGGTGGAAAATAACTATTATGATTTTCCAAGCCAATTATAAAAAGTTTGACTAATTAAGGAAAATTGGTCAAGAATAATTATGGGAAAAATATTCCAAGTCATAGAAATTGAGGGAAAAAAAAGGATAATATCCTTTGAGAATTATATGAGATTATAAAATTAGTTTTAAGGTCAAGCCTAATTTAAGGGCTTTTATTTGGAAAATTCCAAATAAATATTTTAAGGAGAATAAAGGTTCAAGAAAATTCCTATGATATCTCAAGGAATTATAAGAAATTATGGAATTAAAAGAAAATCCTCAAGTACCCAAGATTTTCCTAATTTCTTTGAAAAGTGGAAAAATCCGTAAGAAAAGGAAATTGATTTTTCCTTTTATGTTAATTATGGAGAAATTAATTTCGAGACAAAAGAGAGCAATTTAGAAAGATAAAAATGAGGAGAATAAAATAGGGCTCTAATAGAAAATAATTACAGAGGTTAGAATACTATAATTATAGAAAAGGATTCAAACCCGTAGTCAAAGTGCACCGATAAAGAGCTTTGCATTTTGAATGATCCTCATTGAGCCAAGTGTCAAGCCCTTAATGGAGAGGATTTGAAATTTCCAAGTGTCATTTTCTAAATAGAGAGGATTTTGACTTTTGGTAATTAATTTCATTTGGATTTAGTTAATTAAGAAAGAGAAAGAAGGAACCAAGGGGGTAGTGACACTTGGATTAGCATTAATGATGGTGGTTGAGATATTTTGAAGCATTAAATGAGCACGTCCTCCCCTAAAATCAGACCTCCATTTCGTGCAAGCCATAGCCAAGAGAGAAAAGAGAGTGTTTCAAGTGGAACCAAGGAAGAACTAAGTAGAAAGATAGCATCTCGGAGCACACAAGTGAGATTCAAGGTTAGTTTTTGGTTCTAAGTTGTTCCTTGCCTTGTTTTCTTGCTTTGTGTGGTTGAAAATCTTGTTCCTCCTCTTCTTTGGGTACTGGAAAAAATGATGATGGTGTAGGGGAAGGAGTTATGTTGCTCAAATATGGTAAAACACTTCAAAACATAAAAGATCCAAGTGGTTACAAGTGATATTAGGGTATTTTGGAAGTGTGTTCTTTATTGTGTATTGTAAGGAGCATTTCGGTTTTGACACTAAATGGCCCCTAGGATGAGATTTTCAATGTTTTGATGGTTCCATGGTGTTTAAAATGGAAAAACATGTGGGGATAAGGCAAGAAAGGATTTTTAAACCCTGTGGAAAACAAGTTCAAAAGCAAAGAGCAAAGATGGAACCTTTATGAAGTAAGAGTATTTTTGAGTTATGTTCTTGCTTTTGGTTGAAATGGATAATGATTCTTGTTGTCCTTTTTATGGATTGTCATGCTAGGGTTTGACCTTTGTGAAGAACAAGAAAAGAATCAAAGAAAGCACAAATCTTTGGATCAAGGTAGCAAGTTAAGCCTAGCTACTACCACTAACTAGCATTGTTGATTATTGTATGGTTAATTGCTATTATTGTGGTTGAGCTCTCTTGATTGTTATGTGACTGCTCTTTATAGTATCTTGCTTTGGCTTTTGCATGATTGAGTTTGCCAAATGATAAGCATGTTAGTTGATCAATAGTAGCTAATGTGATCATGCATAATAATGATGCTTGTTGATGCTATAGTTGGTTAATTTGCTATTGGGATTTTCATGAAATCTCATCCCCCAAATGTAATACAATATTTTAGGGTTTGAATCATCCAAGGGAAAGCAGCAAGTGGAAGGCTAAATTACGGCAATTTTTACCATAAAATTTCGTGACATTTTGGTTGTATAATTAAGGTGCTGGACAATACTGAAATTTCCAGACACAGCCCCCTTCACA